CAATGCATGATATATAAATAGTAATTATAAATTGTTCATAGTCGGTAATTATGGATGGACTCATAATTAATTAAGACTTGAACTGGATCCGCGTTAGGTTGAGATATATTGCGAGAGCCGTTGTATGCAATTACTCCCTATCACCGTCATGGCATTTGACTCTCAAGCATGAGAAAAGTATAGACTCTTTTATTAATTAATAATTACTTTGATTTGTTCGGCGGATTCTTCGGGATCCTTAGACCGACACTTCGGGTAGTTATGTAATTAATAGTTAGAGGGTTATATTTTCAATATTTGCATCATTGCTACTTGTATTTATTTTGTATTGATTATGGTTGATCACAAAGTAAATTCGAAGGCCTTCGTATGATTTTAGACAAAATGATTTATTATATATTTATTTATTAAATTATTATTTTTGTCGAACAAATGTTTTATTGTGATCGAGTCAGAAATAATCAAAGGTACCAAAATAAATATATTAATTAAGTAGTCGGATTGATGGCATTATTTATCCGATAACTAATTATGCATAGAGGGGTCAAAGTGCAACATTGACTTAGAGGTTATTTATTATTTAATTGGAGTTCAATTAATTTCTTTTAGTGGAGTAGAAATTAATTTATGAATTAATTTAATTGGGTCCATGGACCGGGCCAATCATTAATTCATTGTAGCCAATAAAATAATAGGCCCAATGGATTCTCACTCATAGCCCAACTTGATATTGGAATCATATTAGATTTGAGACATGTGAATTAGAGATTGAGAAGGATTAGTTGTTTCCTTTTCTTTACCTTTATGTTGCCTATAAATATACATGGTCTATGTATATTTTAGGAGTGATTTTTAATGAGAAGAAAAAAAGGAATATATTTTCTCTTTCTAGAAAATTAAGGTTTATGTTCTCATCTAATGGAGGCTTCCACAAGCCTAGTTTTTCAAGGTCATTCATGGAGGCTTATGAGTGATTCCTAAAGGCAAGACCATTACCAAGAAGATGGAGATCCATGGAAAAGATGTCTAGCAAAAGGGATCTACAATAAGTGAGAACATTCACTTTAGAGGAGAGATCTGAGGTTTACTCAAACCTTGATGTAAGTATTCAATCTTTTAGTTGAATGATACATCATATTTTATTTTTGCATAAAACTTGTCTCTATGTGATGAATCAAGATCTATGAATTTAAATCCCTCGAAAAGTTTTTAAAACTAGCACGTTTCCTAACAATTTGAATATTGATCTGGCTATGAATGTGATAATGTTGCTGCCCAAGTCTTCAAACAAGGGTTTTAGTTAACTAAATAGGTTTTACAAATAGCTGATTGGACTTATATCAGTACTCTTCTTTAATTTGGGATTGATTGATTAGGACACTTAAATTTTGTGGAAGAGTTCAGGGAGGGTGGTTTGAATTCTCAGACCCATGTCCTTTAATTCATAGTGGATTAGTTGGGGTCAATATCAACCCTAAGCTAGGTCACAATCACCCACTAGCCTGCAATTTGCAAGGTTGAGAAAGCTTTACCAAAGACATGTATGAAAAGGAATGGTGTACCAGGTTGGTCACGCAAGTCCGAAGTTTCTAAGGTACAAAAAATATTTCTTTGCAGTTTTCTTTTTAACATTGTGAATTCAAAGTTATCTGTTATTTTTTGTTTATTCGTGATCAAGAATTTCTCAAGTCCTCGAAATACATTGCATAGAAGATGATCAATCCAATTTAGTTATAAAACGCAATTATTTAGGTTGCTTTTTGTGAATCAAGTGCCCTAGAAGAGACCATAGATATTGTTTTCATGTTAGTGATGGTGAAGATGATGAGATTGTTCACCATGTGCCTTCGGCTCAGTTTCAGAAATGGATCAGTTGCGTAATACTATTGCTGATCGAATTTGGAATTATCTTTAGCACTCTTTATCCTTCTGGAAGTGATGGTATGTTTTTTCTTTTATATGTAATATATTTGTTGCTATTGTGAGCTTGTAATATATATATATATATATGTAATATAAATAATTTTTTTGTTACTATTACTAGTTGATATTATTGTTAATATATTTCAACTTAAATGCTATTATTGCAGATATGAAGTGTGTTAATGCTCTCTTGAAGGCCACATGTGCTGTTATGAAGATGATGTGTCGTTGCCATTGTCATCCATTTTATGAACTTATTATCATTTTTTAGTGACAACTATGTATTATTAATGCTTTGTTCCAAACATTTTATATAGAACTTAAACTTGTTTAATTTGTTGGTTGAATATTTAAGCACTTGTAAATGGTATATACTCTATTCCAATTATGCTTTCAGTTGGATTTGTTTTTATTTTTGATGTTGTGTTGAACTATACAGGTAACAGGATAATAAAATTGAAGTAGGTTATTGCAAAGAACTTATAAATAGGTTATTGTAATTTTTTTTTACAAATGTTGACTCATGTAGTATAGTAAAATGTGACTAGAGATGCTTTTATTTTTAATGTTGTGTTGGACTATATAGGTAAAATGATAATAAAATTGAAGTATGTTATTGCAAACAACTTGTAAATGGGTTATTGCAAAAATTAATATCTATATATATATATATATATATATATATATATTTATTTATTTATATAAATTATAAATATATATGTTTGTGGGTTCAAATGTCTCCATATCTATTAAAAATATGATAACTATTTATAAATATACTTAAAATTTATAAAAACAAATTAAAAACAATGAAAACCAAAAATGTTTTTTTGTTTCTATTTTTTTTTTTTTTTTTTGTAACAGTTAGACTGACCAAACATGTTTTGTTTTCAAAATTTTTGAAACGCACACTTACCAAACATGTTTCGTATGTTTTTGTTTCTGATATTTCCACAACAAAACATCGTTCCCAAACGAGCTTCCAAATTTTTTTCAAAACACTCCTACAACAAAAACACTATTTCTGTTTTAGCCAAAAACAAAACGCATGCCAAACGGGCCCTTATTTTGAGTGAATTCCATAGTGTTGGAAGGGGCTTGCCATGAACTACCTCACACTCTGCTTCCACTAGTAGATTCTCAAATAGGATTAGTAAATTGGTCAAAAGAAGAGATTACTGAGTGGTGAATTGTTCATAAATAAATTGGTAATTTTTTTTATTAATTACCCAAATAGGATTTTCTATGCCTTAATTAGTCAATTGTCTAAAGAAACATTTTTAGTTAACTAAAATTGAATTAAACAATAGTTGATTTTGGTTGATATATTTTGATCTAGCCTACCCCATTGAGAAATCCTAGATGTTTTAACATAGAAATAGTGTAATGCACGAAGGATATATTTAATCTTTCTGTCATATTTTTATTTTCAAATTTTGGTTTTTGATTTTTTTTTTTGTTATTAGAATGCAGAATATCAGGATAATGATTTCTTAATTTTGAAGATTATTTGTAAACTTATGCATTGTACTTTGTTATTGGATTAATTTAAAATAAGAGCGGTGTATAATATGTGCTAATCACACCTATTCGTAATCACACCTCTTTCTACGGATAGGTTTCTAATATTTTGACTGAAAGCATAGTTGGGTTGGGTTGGGTTGATACATGATACAAATAGTACTTAGATGGTGGTGTTTTAATTGTTATGAGTGAGATTGTGAAACCTCTTTCTCACAACTTGAGTGTTTTCTTATTTTTAGTGTTAGCATCGGGCCTCAACATTTAGCAAGAACAAGGTTCAAGAAACATGCCTCCTCGGTCATCAAGTAACAAACTCTTACTTTTTCTAAAATTTTAATTTGCATTTTTAGCTATTGGTCACGTTTATTTATTCATGTTTTACATACTGATTTTTTGTTTTTATTTTTGTTTTTGTTTCTACATACATGTATATAATATTGTTATGTTGTGATGGTGGAACAATTTATTAATGAGAGTTAAAGACTTGGAAATTTAGTTTTCAATTTCAGAATATATGTTAATGTATGTTTTACAAGTTTATTAATACTTTTAAAACTTCTCCACTTTTGACCTAATAATGTAGGTTTCTCTTATGAAAGAAGAGAATTGATTGGGAATGAGTGGGGTAGGGGAATTGTGAGACTTCTTGCGACGGACTTGATTACGTATGGTGGGGACATAGCATATGACGACCTTTACAACAAACAACTACGTGGATGGTGGTCTTGTAGTGATCGTCGTCTTGGGGGTGATTCCGAAGTTCTTCTGCCATCAACAACAGTAGATATGGAGACCTAGTTATTGTAATTGAACCCGGAGTCGGAGCTAATATGTCCAAATTGTGAGACTTCTTACCGAAACGGATTTGATTGCGTGAGGTGCAGATACCCATCCTTCTCTGTGTTTCCTCCCTGGATCCACTTCTTTGCGGACATATAGGGAATAAGAAGTTTGAAAAATCACTCTGTTTCAAATTTTTTTTGTTGGACTTCTTGTCTCTCATGCTATGCGCCATTATGATTTAAGGAGATGTATCAGTACTTAACATTGATGTGCAAGAAATTCAAGTTATTGTAATTGAACCCAAAGAAGGGATCCGGCCGCCGCCGCCACCGGAGCCGAAGCCAATATGTCCAAATTGTGAGACTTCTTACCGGTGCGGATACCCATCTTCCGTTTCCTCTGGATCTTACCGGTGCGGATACCCATCTTCCATTTCCTCCTGGATCCATAGGAAATGAGAAATTTGAAAAATCACTCTTTTAATTTTCTTTCTGTTGTTGGACTATTTAAAGGAGATGTATCCGTACTTAACATTGTTGTGTATGTGGTATGCAAATCTATAATATAAAAAAGGGTAAAGTGCATTAAACTCGCTTGAACTATTGGTCATTTGCAATAAACCCTCCTGAACTATATAAAACTCCCCCTAAACTATGATTTTGTTACAATTTACCCCCTTGAACTATTGGTCATTTGCAAGAAACCCCCCTGAATTACAAAAAACTCCCCTGAACTATGATTTTGTTGCAATTTACCCCCTGAACTCTGATTTTGTTGCAATTTACCCCCTGAACTATGATTTTGTTGCAATTTACCCCCATGACATCAGCTTCCGGCACCGAAAATTTTGAAAGACCAGTTTACCCTTATAACACACTGCGTCGTTGTAACTTATACACTTCTTACATTTTTTTTTTCTTCTGCCAAAAGATGTTTTTCACTCAACACAACCCAAAACAGAGAGCTAGAGAGAGAGAGAAGAGACCAAAGAAATCCGAGGTCGGCGGGATGGCTTGGTCTCGGATGATGGTGGCTTGTGCGCGGAGGACTCGACTGTGATGGGAGCTCGATTGACTCGACTGTGAACTGTGGAGGCGGCGGCGAGCTCAAGGGGGCTCGGCGGTGAACTGTGGACGGTTGTGTGCTCGAAACACGGACGGCGGTGTGCTCGGCTATGGAGATGGCAGAATGGGCTGGCAAGCTTGGAATGGATGGTGGAATGGACTGGCGAGCAAGGTGAGCTGAACGGCGGGCAAGGTGGTGACGACGATGGGCTGACGCAACGGTGCAGAGAAGTGCGATATATATGGCCGACGGATCTGGCGGGTGGTGCAACAGCTATGATAGAGCTATGACAAGAGACCTACCGATCCCAGCAAAAGATTCCTTGGCTTATCCAAACACTCCTCAGACGACTCCAATCCCAGCCACAAATTCCTCGGCTTCATCATCCCTTTTAGTCAATCAATTCGCGTGGATGGGGTAAACTGCAAAAAAATATACAGTTCAGGAAGGTTTCTTGCACATACCCTAATAGTTCAGGGGGGTTTTTTTTGCAACTTTTATAGTTTAGGGGGGTTTCTTGCACATACGCCAATAGTTCAGGGAGGTTTTTTGCAACTTTTATAGTTCAGGGATTTTTTTGCACATACCCCAATAGCTCAAGGGGGTTTAATGCACTTTACCCTATAAAAAATTATCAATACTTTAACATTGTTGTGCATGGCATTTCTCCTCCACCGCAAGAAATTCAACTTATTGTAATTGAACCTGAAGGGATCCGGCGCCGCCCACCGGAGCCAATATGTCCAAATTGTGACTTCTTAACAGAATGGATTTGATTGCGTGAGGTGCAGATTCCCATCCTCCTTTTCCTCCTGTATATTGCAGATATATAGGGAATTAAAAGTTTGAAAAATCACTCTTTCAAAATGCCCCATTAGATGTATCAGTACTTAATATTGTTGTGCATGTGGTATGCAAAATTAGTTATTTTAGCAGTACATGATACTTATACAATTGTTAGATTTCTCATGATGGTTTTGGAAGCCAATATCAACTGATCCCCTTCACACTTTTGAACTCCAAGCCATATGTAATACAGGGTCGTCTTAATCACAATAATTAACTTTAAACAAAATGCATCGTTTGCTTGCAAGATGCATACGCCAATCATCAAGAATGTTTGCACCAAAAATTTGAGCGGGGACTTGAAACTTTGCCCTTGCCCTTTCTGGTTAACATATTCATCGAAAGGATCCTGTTTTTTACCAACCCCAAAACCGAACAGCAAGAGCGGTCTGCATATAATGAGAAGACAACTACATCACCTTCCTTGCTGCCTTAGAAAATATAGAACAGCTAAAAGAGGAAAAATAAGTACCAAAAATAAGGAAATAGAGTTTAAGTTACTTGGCAAGAAACTGATACTGTTGAACTGTACCTTCCCCAAGCAATAAGACACTAATCAGCATCAACGGTTGGAACATCTTTCTGAACAATCTGCCATCACAAAAGTTCTTCAGGTCATATTGAAGCAAACAGGGAACAGAAATTTTCACATGGACGTGCAATATCTGTAGGAAGAATGTAAATTCTCCCAGAGTAATCAAATCCTTCCAACAGAAACAAGACTGAAGCTTGCAGCAACCAAATGGAACTCGTTTTACGAGTAAACGTGAAAGAAAACCGCTAAATCATTGACCTAAATTTTTAATTCTAAACAATACCTGTGATATGTATTCTTTAATTTTCTCACTAATTGTTTCATCTAAAGCTCTCTCAGCAACCTCATAAAATGAAGTGTTGCCTTCAGGACCATTAACTTTGTTCTTCTGCAAATATCTGCAAATCAATATTATGCAAGCATAAGTTAAGGTAAATAAATGGTATCAATTTTAGACAGTTATTTCAATCAAAAGCACAACATGTAATCAAGCCATTCCGTTTTCCAATTATAACCTTTGTTGGACAAGTGCTTCCAACGCCTGCTTAATGTTTCCAAGGACAGGATGGTTTTCATCACTTTCATACAATCCCAACCGACTCAAATTATGCCAAAGATTTTCTGCAGTACATTCACCACAAGACGATTAGGTTCTGTCATGTTGACTTTGGATGAGAAACAATAAAATGACATGAAAAATTGTCCTTCAGAATTAATGTGATAACTTTATGTCAAACTATAACCTCACTGGATAATCCAATGTGTCCAATAAGGCATGGTGGTTGTTCCAAATAGTTTTAAGATTTAACAAAGGATTTGTCTAGGCTGAACACAGATCTGGTTCCAAACACCATATTTCTGCCATCTATTCCCGGCATTCTGCTTGGCATTGAACTAGTTCTTACAAATAGAAGGGAAGAAACAAAAAACCAGAAAGCTTACCTTCGGAGATTTTGCCTCCAGCAAGATATGCAATACCAATAACAATAAAAGTAAAACCAGTCAGATGTGATGTATTTACATCTTCAACATATTTCCTGTATACATCAGCAGGTATCTGACTCATGATAATATATGATTTTGCATCCACCGTGCCTGAAATAAATACATCATAGAAAGCATAATTAACACCAGGATCTTTAAATAGAAATAACGAAAATATGTCCTGCTACTGCACAATATAAGAACTGGTGCTTATGATGTCCATGCAATATTTTATCCCACTGGTTTTTCAAGATATATATGGAAACTCTATTTTTCATGATGGTGTTAATCATAAAATCAAAGCAGGATGATTTAAAAGGTAAAGTGTGTTCGGAATATTGAGTGATTTCCATATCTCTCTAAAGATTAAAAGGGAGGTTATATAAATCAGCTATCAGCTATTAGAACAGCAAATTTTTGAGAGACATAATGTTGGGCAGCTAAGAAACAACATATTCATAAAATTAGTGTAGCAAAAATTCGAATGTTGAGATGGGTATGAGACAAAAAAAAAAAAAAAAAAAAATGAGCACATTCATAGGACGATTAAAGTAGCATCTCTTGGAGAAAAAAAATGAGAGAATCGATTAAGATGATTTGGACATGCGTAAAGAAGACCACTAAGTGCACCAATTAGGAAGAGTGACATGGTCGATATTAAGGAAACACTCAGGTAAGGGGAAGACCAAAATTAACATGGAATAAATAGTAAGAAAAATAGTAAGAAAATATGTCATAACACGTAATTTGACTAAGGTTATGACCTTGGAAAGAACAGAATGGAAAAATAGGGTTCATGTAACCGACCACAAGTACTTAAAAAGACTTGTTGAGCTGACTATACATATAAGTATATATGACATTGTTAGCGGGGCTCTTAAAAGAAAGACACACATCCACCAGCTGATGGAGAATATTTCTTAAGCAGTTTGGGTATGTTTGCCATAGAATGCAACTTCCACATGAAAAACTTATAGAAAACTTTCTAATGGAGGCTTGGCAGCAAATCTTGTGAATGTAGTGCAACTTGTTTGGAAAGCTCCTTATGCTGTTTAAACGTATTTTACACACTCGTGAACTCAACTGTGAAATTCTACTGTTCAGTGCAATTTTATTTATATTGGTCGAAACGAAAATAAGGGTTTCACGTTGTGAATATGCTCAAAAGAGTATTTATGGTATTTGCAGCTGCTGGCTACAATGGAACAGTCGTGATCTGTAAGATTGTTTAAAGACCTATAACCTCTTGACAGGAATATAGTGGTGTAAACAATGGAATGATCTCAATTTAATAGTTGTTCAGCAGACCATTAGAGACGGATTCCATCATCCTTACCATTTAGAGAAGTCAAGTGAGCAAGAATGTGATCACTTAAAAACGTTAATTATAACAATGTCTGAAATGTAACTTCTTCTAATTCTAATGACTTGTGTGGTATGGTAACCTGGCGCCTGCATAGTAGATGCATGATATAGATATAATTTATCATGAACCACAGTAGTAATAGTTTGTACTCTGTTGTGAAGAGCGGCCTTGATTTGCTGATGAAGGCCGAGAACGCTGGAGCTCCTTCATTTCATATCCAAAAATGCTCGAGAGCTTTGCTCTGGCCTCATTGATCACAAAAGAAGGGAGAGCCCGCTGGCGATAGTTTTTAGTAACCAATTGAGTAAGTTCGTCCCTCTTAATTGGGCAACCCAAATTCTGGTGGGTTTTAAAAAGGACACAGCGGATCACTTCTGCAACAAGCTTGTCCTTCTCCTGTCGCGGGTAAAATTTTCATCATCAAAATTTACACACTACCCATTTCATAGCTAAAGTATAAATGGAAGTAAAACACTGTGTGCACCTCCTCAGAAATATCAAAATGAGAAAAATCCTCACCAGCAGTTGCCATCCTGAAGTAAAAAAATACCATAATATCCATAAGATCATATTTTTTACACGATCCTAAGCTCTATTCATTGGCATCTAAGCTACCAACTCAAAGTAGGGAAGAAAAAAAAAAAGTAACATCATAATCACTTCAGAAATTGATCTTAATACACCCACATCCATGCCAACAAAACATAGCAGCTTCCAGAATCAACAAAGTTCCATTGCTTAGCCAAGCCATTTGGTAACTAGTTCAGTTACTAACCAGATAACAATATATCCTTGTTTCTGGAAGCAACTATTACACTAGGACTTGTGCCATCCCTACTTTACAACACACAAGACACATTGACGTCTGTCATGTTATTTCCCAAATGCCTACGAGACCCTCAGTCATAGGCTGCAGACTTGAAAATTGACCAAGTCATCTTTTAGTACATCATCTTAAATCAAAGCTTCACATTTGATCCCAAACTCAGAATTGAAGGAAAATGAACTTAAACGAGAAACAAAGAGAAGGAAAATAAAATTTTCTTTGTTTCTTCCCTTCTTCTGCTTTGGCTGTTTGGTCCTATAGAAAATGTTGCTTTTAACACCACGGCACCACATCACCACATAGTTCAAAACTGAAAAGGGGAGCCAACTTGGTGTAATAGTAATAGCTCTAAAAACTCAAACCTAAGATCACAAGATCAAATTCTAATGTAGATACCCAGTACCCATTCCTCCCAACATCCCAAATTGATGGAAGAACATCTATAATGGACTTTACTACCTCGTCAAAATTTGAAAAACATATGCTTAAAGAAGAGACCTTTGCTTTTGAGATATCCATTGAAAATCATGCTTGAAAAAAGCAATCTTTATACTAATGTATTGCCCGTCTAAAGTTCTGAAAAACAGGTTCAACTTTGAGCACAAATTTAGGAAATGTCCCAAATTCTAAATTAGAAGTTATTCACAGGTGCACAATTTTCAAAATTCTTGATTGACAATAACTATATAGAATTGGCAGGGACCTCCACCTTCTTTACTAAGCGAAAAATACACCATCGACTAACATAACAAAGAAAAATCAGGCTGCATAAAGGAAGATCAAATTTTGCGCCATCTGAACGCATTACCCATATAAAAATTATGGAACAAAATCGAAAATCATAATTTCTGAAATTGAGTTTCCATTTTATCCGGTAATTTGCAACGAGATTACCCACCGAGAAACACTACTGTGTGCTTATTTGGTTGCTGAGAAAGGTATGAAAGTTAGCTTTTATATATTCCTTCATTAGGGCTTGTAAAAACAGAAGCTTCCACGTGACAAAGATAACAGAAGGGCAATTAGACTCAACTGTGCTAAGTTTCATTTCAATCCCCTCATAATACCCCAAATAACAGAAAGAAAAAAAAAAAAAAAATCCCAGTACTTGATTTTCTTTTATTTTCCTTCGTTTTCTCAGCCCCCAAATGGTGGGAAACTGAAAACCCAGAATTAGAAAACAGAGGATAGGCAAACAGTAAAGAAGATAGCAAAATTAATATGAACAAAAATTGAATCATATGTAGATATGAAGCATGCGTAGATGGATAATTAAGAAAAACATAACTTTGTAAAAGATCTGGATGAATATTCACGTTTTAGTACTGCCGTTGAAACCCTAGAAGAGATAGAGAGAGAAAAACATACCTATTTCGCGTTTGGAAAGAATAGCAGTAAGGAGGAGAGAAAAGAAGAGTAGGATTCTGCTTCCCGCCACTTCACAAAGAGGCTGGAATGCATATAACATTTCCTAGTACTAGTTTATTTAAATTACCATAAAACTGTAAGTTTATTATATTTATTTTTTGATTGCCAATGAATTTACACACCCAAAAAAAAAAAAATAAAATAGTGGTATAAATTAAAATATATATATATATATATATATATATATATATATATATATATAAAGTGAAATTAGTTAAATTAATTTACGTCTAATTTTGAGATTTTGCTAATTGTTATTTTATTTTAAAAATTATTATTCCCTCAAATCCTAACAACGAATTATCTGAGTTTTGACTTTTAAACAGAATTACTTTTTAATTATTTTTTCTAAATGACACATTGTTTTCTTTTTCTTATGGCCATTGTAAATTACATTTTTATATATTTCTTTTGCATTTATAATTCGATCTACATTCAGTTAATTTTTTTTTTTTCTCGTAATTACATTCATTGTAAAATATTCAGACAAAATTACTTTACGAGTTTTTTTCTAAATACATAGATTTTTATCTCTTTCCAGAAAGTTCTTCACATCTTATCAGATATTTTTATCGGGATGATTGTCGTCACCTGTTTTTTTATGTCTAAAACATTTAGTAATTATCTTATTGATGTCATTTGATTTTATTAATTTTTTTCGGGAATGGGATGGCAGGAATGGGTGGAGGTGATGGGAGGATGCTATCCATGATAGCTGCAACGCACAAGGAATGGGCGGAGGTGATGGGAGGATGCTATCCATGAAAACACACACACACACACACACACAAGCAGAATGAAAATTGATTCTCACTTCATAGCAAAAATTGTTTACATGACTGTCCAAGGAATACAGTGGCTTCATACATCATTCATAATACAAATAAATAGTTAATTACATTATCTGAGCTTACCAAAACTTATTGACCAAACATTTGGACTTTTTGCCTCATAAATAAGAAAAAATCCATCTTTAAATGAACGAAGAATAGGAAGAAAGGTACATGTAGCTATTAAAAAGTATAGAGGCCAGGCGTCGAATAAAACCCCAACTATTCAGCCTTCTTGGGTTTGTAAGTGTTCACTAATTGCATCTGCACTTCCTGAGAAACTGGTGAATGCTCCTTGTATTCCATAGTGAACTCGCCTTTACCCTGCACAAAATTAAGAACCAATATGGCACATTAACTCATATCTCAAATGCAGTTTATCAACGGGAAACTCGGAATTCATATAATGATTTTTTGCTTCACCTGTGTCATTGAACGAAGAGCTGTTGAGTAACCGAACATATTGTTGAGAGGGACCTGAAAACCAAGAAAATGTTCCGCAGAAGCTAATTATAGTATAGATAGACACGGTTTTTAACTGCTATAATCAAACTTGTAAAGCTGACTCCTAAAACTATACATCTCTTTCCAAGAGTTTTTGTATTTGTGATTTAAACAGAGCAAGATGAACGGAACATAGAAGATCGACATCAAGGAAGCAGCATGTGGGTAATGCGTCCACCCTTTTTGACTCATTAATAATCAAGTGAGAAGAATAAAATCATGTGTACCTGAGCAGTAACTACAGAATCATCTCCATCCTGGTCATTTCCAACAATCAAACCTTTTCTCCTGTTACATTACATATGTGCACTTTCAGTTTAAAAAGTTGGTGATAAACTCCCAGATGATTTTGTCGCAAAGACCAAAAATTACTCACTTGTTGATATCACCAGTAACAGCGCCCTGAAATTCTGTTGGTACTTTCAGTTCCACAAGCATTACAGGTTCCAATATCACAGGTTTTGCTGCTGAATAGCACTGTTCCACAATGTGGCAACATGAAAATCCTCGGAAGGAAATGTAAATAACAAAGTAGAAAATTAGGATACTCTCCCCCTCCTCCCTCCCCAAAAGCCTAAAAAATATCAGCAAGTCATATAACTTAAGCTTTCACCCTATATGGGATGAGAATGGACCTGTCTAAAAGCATATATTGCAGCTAACTTGAATGCGAGTTCACTAGAATCCACAGCATGGGCTGCACCATCAGTTAAAACAATACGAACGTTTTCGACTGGAAAACCTATTAGTGAACCCCTGTACATACAAACAGGACCATATTGTAAATAACCACCACCACATCGTAAACAATAATAACTCATAGTAGTAGCCTTAACTCTTCTTTGCAGATTTACAAAAAAATGGGTATAAGAGTGAGCTAGCTTATTCCAATTGGGGAAGTCAGCAAGAGCCATTTATTAGCATTAACAACTCTTCTATGCAAATTTAGGACTCTTCCTCTTCTTACCTGGCTTTGCCTTTGGAACCTTCATTTAAAGCAAAGGTGGCATCTGGCACTATCTTTAAATTAATGCACAGGTGACTATAATATTGAAAAAAATTGCACCAGTATAATATGTGGGAGCCTTTGGACTTTGGAGTACTCTTGTGGGTTTCCCAAATCACTGTATACTTCAGAATACCACATTATCCATGGCTAAAAAATGGAAAAGTTACCGTAGGCATTTCTTGGGTTGGGCTAAAAAATCGATTTAAATAACATTTACAAATAAAAAATAATACTTTGTATAAGCATAAGGAGTGCAAAGACTGGTCAGTAGATTGCTAAAACAAATCAACCATTCCCAGGCAATTGTCTAAAATGGTTTGCTCTAGAAGAAGAAAGTTATGAATGGAGTCAAAAGAGGTGAGTAGTAAGGCATCAAGATTAGAAAACTACTAAAAAGAGAGGAGAGTTCTATATTGGTACATGCTTCAAGCTCTAAACCAGGAATGAAAGGAATATGAAATATATTTGGTAGGTAAATATTATTCTTGTGGATTACCAGAATTCACTCTGATGCCATTTGGCATCATCTAGTGTTCAATGCCTCGCTCTCTGTAAACTTATTTTATAAGCATTTCAGTGGTTTGGTGCAGTGCCAAAAGCTAGATTTGTCAAGCTTGAGAGCACATTTTGGAGTTGGAGGTAGCCACTTTTATGCAAATAATGTCAAGAGGTTAGGTTTGTACAAAATCCGTCCCCGTCCCACCACCTTCCGTTAACGGGGACCAAAATGCGTAATACTTTTTTCAGCTACTTGGACAGGGCCAGTTTTCCAAATATATGGTGTGAACATGATGCACCTATGGAAGTTGCAATCGTGTAAATGAAGATCAAGGAGATACTAAGGTGCTACTTATAAAAAAAAGGAGGAGATACTAAGGTGCCCACTTATAATATAGAGGGAGGAAGGTTCTATAGGTAGTAGATACAAATACAATGCAATTATGGTGAATTGAAAGATCACCTTTTTCTTCATTGTTAAATGGAACACGGGTACTTAACCTTCCTCCTGTTTTACTGGAATCTCATGGGTCATGCCTAGATCTCTATAGGATTTGTTGGTGCATTAAGATAAGAGAAGGGAAGGAAAGATTAGTTTGCTTGAATGCGTGTGAAGAGATAAATAGAAGAGTCTTCCAAAAAAAAAAAAAGGGAGCTCTTTAAAAATTTCTTCCTTTTTCCTTCTTTCGGAAGGGGAAGGGAGTAATTTTTTATTTTCTTTTTCTGGGTAGCAGACCTTTACTCTAAGGCCTAAGGATGTTATCCTCGGATCACCCTTACATTAATAATATGTTTCCTTACCAATTCCAGAATTGAAATGAAAAAGAACAAAGGCCCTTAGATATGCTAGTAGAGTAGATTAGGTAAAGACCTAACTTCTTGCATTATCTGCATGAAGTGACCGTCAACGCATTCTCATGCATGACAGATCTGAGCTTTTACTATTGCACCGAGCAATGACCCCTTTGATGTTTAATTTTTTCCTTCAAGTGTTATGATAGCTGTTCTGTGGCTTGTCTTTGTATGGTCAAAGTACACTCAGCATGTACCAAGTTTCACCCTTATTGTGTTTACAAATTTTATTATGCAAAAACAAACAAAAATAATTATCAAGATAGATAAACTTGGTTCCAACAATGAAACTGCAATAAGTATTAGTTCGTACTCCATAACCCAGTTAAAAAACTTCCACACAAAAGAGGCAAAAGAAAATGTGATACTTACGAATTGGCAGCTTCTTTAAAACCCTTCTCAATTGCTGGGATAAAACTTGAAGGTATGGTTTGTCCTATAATCATGTTCTCAAATTCAAACTTAGCTTCATCATCATGTGGAAGTGGTTCAATATACCTGCCAACAAAACCATTTACACAATATTAGTGGTATATCATGAATGTACTAATGTATAATTCATTAATTAGAAACTGTTACGAGCCCAAGGCAACCAGAAATGGTTTTGCAAGTTTTGCTAGGCACAAGCCTGGTTACCTCATTGGTTGGCTGAAGCACAAGCTATTCATAAAGTGTCAGAAAAGTGTGCTAAATTAAATATTGCCCGTTTCTAATGATAAGCTTTATGCAATCAGTTGTGTACAAAAGAATATGTTGAATAAATATTATAGGTGTTCTAAGGAACAAGTCTGACAGAAAAGTTAAGGGAAGAAAAAATAATTTTAGGTCATGCAAAAGGTGTCATGCAAAAGGTGATAATAACTCCACCAAGGTATCAATATCCAACTACTTTAGCATCTCAATCAGAACATAATAAGCCAGGAATTTGGTAATCCACTTTGTAAGCCCTTACAATGGCTCAACTGACCACCATCCATAATATCCAAGGACAACAATTACCAAAAATCCACAATAGATACCCAGAACAAAACTACTTTAGCATGTCAACTAGAATATAATAAGCAAGAAATTCTATAATCCACTATGCAAGCCCTTACATTAGGCTCAACTGACCACCATCCGTTCATATAGAAGGACAAACCAATTATCATAAAATCCACCATAGATACTGGAAATCAACATCAAAGTTTATGAGTCTATAAAGAGATTTGCGAACTAAAAACATCCATGTACAACCTATATGGTACCTTTGGGCAATGATAATTTCTTTTTTGAAAGGTCAGGATCAAATGATAATGCAAGGATCAAACAATAGTTCTCAATCTGGAGAAAGACTTCCCTACACCGCTGATACACGTCATAGGTGCCAACAACCAACTATATCTTGTCACATAAGTAAAAGTGCATTTACTTTAGTGGGTCCTATCGCTACGCGTCAGCATTTAATCAGTTGGTGATAACATGTCATCAATACACCAGGAGCATTAAAGTATTTCTCCTTGATCTGAAATACAAGTGTAGCACTAAAATTTTAACTTAGGGTCTTGACAGCAGGTCATTGCAATGGGGGTGAAGGATTCTTGCATGAATAAATGATGCAGGACATACAAAGATGAAAGAGGTGAGAATACAGATTGAAAGAGAAGATCAGTAACGAATGACAACGATGAGGCGTAATGGGCGACAAATGAGAGCAGTGAAGATCAGCAACGACAAAGGGTTACGTGGGCGCAGCGACTGGCAACGATGAGGCGATGCGATGACGACGTCTAAAATGACGAACTGATCTATGATGGCTATTTTCTGATGATGGAGCGATGACGATGTAGTGACTGCGACAGGGTCTTCAGTTTGGGATGTTGGTTGGTGGTTCAGAATTTGCAGCTAGGACTTGCAGCGGTGGTGAAAATTGTTGGCTTGGGTTTGTCTTGTGTTTCGACTAGGGCAAATGCAGTTTTAGATTTCATGACAGTAGGATTGCCGTGGTGCATTTTGTTTGGTTGTTGTTTGGGGGTGGGTTTCATGACACTGGGTTTGTGGTGGTTTGGGTTGTCTCCAATGGATTGGATGGGGCTAGTCCTAACGTTTGTTGCGGGTATCGGTTGGCATACAATGGAAGGGTTTGATGTAGGATTTGTGAACAGTGGGTAGGTAGGGTATTTTGCCATGCATGAGCAGTAGGGAGTTTCGCAACAGTGAGGATTGTTCCTTGTTACTTGAATCTTTCACTCTTATACCAAGTTGATGCAGGACAAATATAGGCTTCTTGTAATTTTGATTTAGAACCAAAAAGAAAGAAGGGGTGAGAATGAGAAGATGAGATGAAGCTAGAAGAAGGAAGTGAGACGACAGACAAAGAAGGTGAGAATACAGTTGAAAGAGATAAGAAAGACTGAGGGATTGAGAAGAGCAAGAACGCAGAGGAAGAAAGAGATACAAGGGGACCAACAGGTCAGTGGTCTAGCGGTACCAAACCCCTACTTCTCAAAGAGAGGTCAGGGGTTCGAGCCTCAGTGGAGGCATGTGTGTGTGACTACCAACTAGGGAAAAAAAAAAAAAAAAAGAGATACAGGGAGAGTTCGCAAACTCAGAATAATAATTCAATAATATAAAGCTACTTTGCTTAGTTATATAGAAGTTTTTATATAGACAAAACATAAACAAAGGCTAAGAAATTTTAAAATAGTAAAATACTAAAATACCCCTAAAAATAGAACATTACCAAAAATAATAATAGGCGTAACTTAAAAAAAAAACCCATATTCTATTTATCTTCCCCCCTTCTCCAATAATAAGTGTGGGTCATATGTGGTTCTAGCTCTTGGGTTGTGCCTTGGTCTCCATCAATAACTATACACAGCAATGTCATAGTGAACACGTCAACACCAGATATATGGACCCAATCGCCAGCCAAATCAGAGCGAATAGTAGATCCTTAGCTCAGTGAGTGTGAGTGGTTACAATCTGATCCCAGCATCGCCATATGTTTCTAATAGTCCTTAATAACTCAAAACAGTTCCCTCGAGTGTTTAACATACTTATTTAAGTCATAGACAATATTCAAGGAGCTCCTCAAGCTCGATAGTGATTACAATTTGATCCCCAAAGTCCAGTCATAATCCACATGGTAATAATGTGACCCAACAATTTCTTTCAAGAAAAGAGAGGGAGAGGAAAGAGGAGGGAAGGAGGAGGGAGGGTGGGGTTGGTTCCAAAGGACACCTTTCAGGCAAATTTAAGCAAACTACATGATGTCTTTACAGAATTAATTCCTATGTTAACCAAATAAGAACATAACCAAAATAATTATAATTGCTGATAAAAGTAGTATCATTCATGCTTACCCGCATACCCTTCCGTATTGACCTTGCCCTCCAGATTGCTTCTTATGTAAATAATCAAAGTTAGCACGTTGAGTAACAGTCTCTCTGAAGTTAACACGAGGCTTTCCGACAGTTGCATCAACCTTCATAAGGACAAATGAAAAAAATAAAAATAAAATAAGGAAGTATTTAGATAACAGAATTTTCAGTGAGAAGTAATATCAAAATTCATAGGTGTATTTAACAATAAAAAACTGGACACCTTGTACTCCCTACGAATGCGTTCAACATATATGTCTAAATGCAGCTCTCCCATTCCAGAAATAATTGTCTGTTCAAGAAAGCATTCTAGTATCAAGGTAAGGCATGATGGAATTCTTTCAAGAAACAAGGCGAATGAATGTCAAAAATCAAACCTGACCACTCTCAGCATCCAAACCAACACGGAAAGTAGGATCCTCTCTTTGAAAGCGATTCAAAGCTTTTGAGAACTGTCAGAAAGGATACAAGACAATGATGAATAAGATTTATTCAAATGAAGTGTATCAACTAGGAAGCTCAGACACTTCTCTTAATGTGCCATGGCGGTATCGGACACTTATCGGATACGCGGATATGGCTCGGACACGTGTTGGATACGGTTAGAAGTACTCTGTAAATTGAATATTTTATTTTCAGATTGAATATGGCTGGGAGCCTGGGACACGGCAAGGATACGTTTTGGACACGTTCAGGATATGTTGGGTGTTTCTGTAATTTTCTTTTTGGAAGAATAGGATTCAATGCAATTTAAATATATTACGGGTTAATTAGAAAAATAATATAAAATTTAAGAGAAAAAAAACAGAGAGCTCTAAGCTCCAAATTAGAGATTTTATTCATGACTATATGGATAAAATGGCAAAAAAAATATTATATATATATATATATATATATAAAATATATTATATTATATTATTATTTTTTGACGTATCCATATGCCGTTGCCCGTGTCCTATTTTTTTGAGATTTTCTGTTTCGCCGTATCCGTATCGTGTCGTACATGTGTCGCATGTCGACATCCATGCTTCCTAGAGTGTATACTTTGATGAAATTATATATTATATTTCAATGAAATTGCTCACTTGTCCTCCAGAATCTTTAGAAACTGGTGAAACGGCTAACGACATGACTGGCTCAGGAACATTCATAGAAGTCATCGTGTATCTAACTTTACCATCAGTAAAAGTATCTCCTGATGACACACAACAATAAAATAAATTAATAATAAACATGGAACAACAGAAGCAAAAGCAATATAGGAAATGTACAAATCTCCAGAGCATAACATTCATATGTATGCGTCTTTTGTTACAGCAAGAAAATGAATGACGTCACTAAAATCCATTTGTCTTTAATCTTCATATAACGTAGTAATATAACAGTTATCGACAAGATTCTGGTGTCTATTTGCATGTAGAGAGCAGGCAGGGGTACCTGAAGCACAATCTACACCAAATACAGCTACTATTTGCCCAGCATGTGCCTCTTGGATGTCCTGCACATAAAAAAACACAGAAAAATAAATACCAAAAAGATAGGTAATTCCTTAATTTTAAAAGGAATATATCAATAACTATTTAATTCCTGAAGGATTCACTCAAATCATCCTCTCACTGAGAGAGATTCGACAAATCACCAGCACAAGTAACAAGAATAACTTCAGGCAGGAAAAACAAACCTCCATCTCATTTGAATGCATCCGGACCAAGCGAGGAACCTACAGAAAAATAATTTTAAAATTAAAAAAAAAAGAAAAAGAAAAGAAGAAGATCAGGCCATGTTCAGTGATACCGATGACAAATAATTATGAAACATAAAATCAGGTCCCGTTCATCGAGTCCAAAACATAATTATTATGGATAGCATGACAAGATGACCAATATGGCAATATCAATATAATTATTAATAAGAATTTCTCCATTTGAATAGAGTGAAGAGTGCCATGGTACGGCTATTGTCATTCTTTGAGGCACATTTAGCAAACATATCAATAATCAAATGAATGTGATTTAAATGAAATTGACTTATGTGGTGCTGAATAAATGTCATGAAAGCCTCATAAGCATATAGCAAGACATCAGAAATTACCATAAAGTAAGCAAACGCCAGCTGCAGACCAACCTATACATAAAAATTTGGCAGTGCGTTTCTTTCCAAAAAAAATTCTTAATATACATCCCAGAGGGCCAGAACAGACAAGACAAATACTAATTGGAATCTTTTTTTTACAAAGAAGTAATGGATATGATTTTAGAAGAAACACACACACACACACAGTAGCAAAGAGAACCTTGGGTTTGCATGTCATAATTCTTCTAATTCATAGTTTGAGAAAAATAGCACCTCAAATCACTTGACAGCGATAAACAAGACCAAAAGACTTTTACAAGCTTAAACTTGAACTGACCTTAATCTTCTTGCCTGTATTTATGTTTATAATAAAATCACCCTTCCGAATGATACCTTCATAGATTCTTCATTGGGAAAAAATGCAGTTAGCATAATTGCACAATAATACATAGGTTAGGGCCAAAAAAAGCACAAGTACATGAATCCACTCATAAGCTAAGTCGCAACCATTAAATTAAAGATGATACAAATCTTAGAAGCACCTTAAATATGTCAACTGACCGAAACGCCCTTCTTCCAATTTAAAAGCCAATGCAACAAGAGGCCCAGCTGGAGTTCCGGATAACATAACCTAATAGCAGTTAACTCGAAGGAAAAATTTAGTTCTCCAATCAGATCTCAAATACAAAAATAGAAGGAATCAATCTGTAATCATTCAACTAAATACCTTCTCTTCTTTCTTGGTCTGGTCAAGAGCATAGTTACTAACTTCAGTGGGACAAGGCAAATAACTAAGCACCCCATCGAGAAGTGGTTGCACTCCCTGTAGTCCAGGCATGACAGAATTAAAGATTGACATCTCAGTTGCCAAACCAGGTAACACACCATCAAATCCATTAGAATGAAAAATAAGGCAAGATGAAGACAAATCTTCAATTCTCCCATCCTAAATATTTAAAGCAGTAGGTACATATCCAACAAAAAAAGAAAGAAAGAAAGCAGGAAAAATTGTTAGGCTCCATTCATTGATCACAAGAAAGAATATGAAAGTTATCTGCCCCAACACTCAACAGTAAACCGTATCATTATTAAAAGGTCCTTTAGAAGGCATGCAAAAACAAAAATTTGATAATGACCAAAAATAGAAATACAAACAGCTTTTCCAACACAAGAACCAAGCAAGATGCTGTTTGTTGACTTGTAGGAAGAAGAAGAAAATATTGTCCATTGTCCATTAAGAAATAAAAAAAAATCGTAACAATAATCGTTTAAGAAAAAATTAAAATAGGCACTTAAAATATATGAATGATGACGAAGGACAAATAAGAAATAGACTCTAAAATCAGGAAAATAAAATAAAAAAGGGACCTCAGTTATGTTGTTTTGCTACTAAAAACTGGTTGGAATTAGAGATGCAACAATAAGATATATGGCTTGTCATGTAGACTTGGGAAGACTGTTAATATAGCAGTGCTGCTGGTACTTTACAGTGCTGTTCTAACTAATGAGGGTAAAACAACAAGACATAGTTCCTGAAGGTCATTTATTACGTGTAAAATATTCAGAGAAAAGTAAACCGCTATTTAGAATTCCATCTTTTATTTTAGAAATTATTATTGTGTTTGTTTTAAAACTCCTCGTTGCCAACAAAAAAAAAAAAAATAAAAAAAAGAATATAAATATATATATATATATATAAATATATATATATATATATATATATTATGTTGAGATGGAGATCATTGGATTGGAAAGAGCAAGAAAACTTGGGCTTAGGATTTGGGGGGAAAAAAAGTTCTTTTTAAAAGATTACTCAGATATTGAGGCATATCAAATTGTCTTCTACTCCTTCCTTTTTTGTATTTTAATAACTCAAGTCATGAGACAAAAAGGCCTCACTTCTAAATAGCATCCTAATTAAAAATAAGGACATAAAAATCAGCTAATTGTCTAAAAAGAAAAGGAAACTAAATAAATTCATGGAATTCCAATGTAAAATTAGTTAGACACTCATCCATGGTCCTGTTTCCGTGCAAAGAGCTAATTGATATTAGGTGTTTACAGAGTACAGTAAAGTAAGAAATGTTGTGTTGGATAGCTCCTTAAAATAACGAGTGTCAACTTGAACAAAGTGTCATTGAGAGTGGTGTTCTTGAGATACGTCACCGAGGAGATTATAAGATCATGTGAAGATTGGAAGATGGAGTTCGATTCAACTCAAAGATCAACATTGTTGCTTCACCGTTTTCAATCACCTTAGAACCAGGTAAGTGAGACCTAGAGAACATATCATCTGGGCTGGTTAATTGGATAGAAAGAAGTATTACCCTCAATCTAGGTGAATGAAATTCTTGTTTGGAGTGTTTATCAATGTTTTGGACACTTTCGAGATTTAATGTTTGCTTAAAATATGAATAATTGAAAAAAATGTGTTTTTGGATTACAAGTACAATACGCACCGGTACATTAAACTCCAAATGGTTGTGCACTATATATAAGCTGACAGAAAGCCATATACTGCTACCACCACTAGATAGATACGGGAATTTGACAAAACAAAAAATAAAATAAAATAAAAAACTGAGTTTTATAATTTAACTTGAAGAGGTCCAAGTGATCCACAAAACTTTTAGAAGACTTACAAATTATAAATAGGTATTTGTAAAACTTGTTGGGTTAGAAGTAGGAGAAACATTGAGATAGGGAGAAATGAAGGGAGAAGAACTTATGTTTCTTTCGCCATTTTTAGCTGGAATCGAATATAATCATGGCAGTCAACTATGTGATTGAAATTGTGAGCACAGAGCTTTAATAAAAATCTGCAATTTGTGAGCAACGGTATAGCAAATCCATCAAGGTCTCGCTTCGGTGAGTGAGGATGCATCTTGTCGAAAGCAAGTGGTCTCGTTGCTACAGAAGGAGGTGGTGTTGAAGAAAGAGAGCTGACCAATGATCTTTGTGGGGAGAAAATCACAAGGGCAAAAGCCACGCAATTGCATTAACGGGAGAACAAGAGAGTTGGCAAATAATCTGAAACTAATGTGAATGTCGTTGTCATAGATAAATCAACTACTTAGTGATTTTAGGGGCAGGAGTCTATAATTAATACGTAGTAGTAAGTTGAACTCTTTCTTACATATAAAAAAATTGTACCCTTTCTTGGTCAAAAGGGGATAATTGAGCTCTGAACTAGGTTCTACCATTTATCCTAGTTTGAGTTTTTCACGTATTTTCCTTTTTTTCTTTTTAGTTGTTTCTATTCTCATGATCATGTGGGTGAATGCTTGAAAACCCAAAACAGTGAGAATATGAAAGATACAATATTTTGAAAGAGCCTATTTACCTTCCCCTTTAGGTCTTATTGTTATGGCTTGAGACATAACTCTCAGTTGGGTGAATGTTGTTTGGAATACTATTACTTTAAAGAAATGCCCCAAATATGGAAGTGTATGCAATCACCAAACTAGAACCTGTTTGGAGTACGTTGCTTGGAATACGTTGTTTGGAATACTATTACTTTCAAAAAATGCCCTAAATATAGAAATGCATGCAATCACCACACTAGAACCTGCGGTACCTCCATTATGCATTTTGCAATCTTTGATTGAAGCTAAAAGGCAAAAAGAATGAAATATGACAACGCAAATCCACATACCACTTCTGCGTTACCTAAATCTTCAAATACAGGATGGAAGAACAGATAACCCATAGACATATCATCCAAATTACCAAAAAAAAAAAAAAAAAAAAAAAAAAATGATGATCAGAATATACCTTGTTCTTGAATGCACTACCCATGAATACAGGAACAAATTTTCGTGCAATAGTAGCTCTGCGAATCGCCTCCTACTTGATTGACAAAAATCAAGACAACAAGAAAAAACATGAGAGCAGAACAGAAAAACAGCATATTCAGGTGAGATCACATTACACAATTTAGGGATAAACTCTAGTATGAGTTTGAGCTCCCACCACCAATCAGTGCAAACAGAAGGATAACAGAACACTAAGTAGGCAAGATCCCCATAAGAGATTGTCTAGTGAACATAGGCAAAAACTTAATCAGTTCTTGCTAGAAGAGTCGAAGTACGGATGGCCCCAATATGCCTTGGTATCGGCAATATGCTTGCTATCAATTGGTAAGTGATGGTATCCAACAGATAATATACAAATAAATTTTAGAAATCAAAAAAAGTGAAAAATAAAAAAATAATAAAAAACAATAATAATGATGGTGGTGGTAGTGGTGATGAATTAAAAAAGAAAAAAAAAATTGAAACAAGGAAACTATAATAATTACTACAATCAATATGATCAAATATTTCAATTTATTCACTTCCAGGTTGACCTATCATACTACTAAGATTCAGAAATTAAAAAAAAAATACTCAAACAAAAGTGTTCTAGTAAGCCACAAAACAACAAACATCATCTACCCTCTCCAGTTGTGATAAATCTTACCATTGTTTGATAGATAGAATTCTGGGTGCTAAAGAGATCATGCTACCTAATCAATACTTGACATGTTCCCGAGAAATTACAATCTATTGAATGCATGTATTGGACCCTAAATACAGACTGGATACCATTGATGTCCACAAAATTGGGCAAAAAACTTGATTTCAGCCAGTTATTTTAAGCACATACAGAGAAAAAAGTAAATCGTACCAAAATCAGGCCAATGAGATGGAAAAAAATTTGCCTGACAGACACCCAAATAATTCTTTTGAACCAGCAGTGTATCTCATATTGATGATGGAGAATTCATAAGAATCCATCTTATGTAACCTTTTGTTTGTAGAATGCAGTTTTTATTATGTAACGCACCTCAAGCTCAGCTGATGATATGGGTTCATCAGTGAGAAACAATTCAGCAAGCTTGTCATCAGCCTCAGAAACCACTTCAATCAGTTCACGTCTCTTTTCTGCGACTAATGCCTCCATATTGGCAGGAATTTCTTCAGCGACGATATTTTCACTAAAAAAAATAAATAAATAATAAACAACAACAGCCACAACAAGAAGAAAATTATAGGCATATAATTATGGAAACCAAGCAGACCCAAAGCTTATAAAACTGACCCACTGGAACCACGAAAGTAATAAGCTTTTGACTGCACAAGGTCAACAAGACCCTGAAAGTCTTCTTCCAGCCCAATCGGAACTTGCACTGCAGCACTATGATGTCGGAGCTTCGATCTCGCCTTAATTTTTTAAAAATAAAAAATTAAATTAAAAGCTCAATCAGAAAGACATTGTAAAGATGTCAATGCCAGGAAGTCAAAGTTCAGTCCTATCACAATCACATTAGCTTGACAAATATCCAATTTAATGCACAAGGGAGTTTCAGGATAATTTTAGAATATTTAATCTAAAATATATTTTATTATGGTTATGTCATGTACATGTTATCAATGGGGATAAAAAACAAACAAGTAATTGCATCAAGTGCATGAACAGAGATAATAATATACAAATTCAACATACATCACATGACAAATGATAGGCTTATTTGCCAACCCAGATGCATGACAAACTGAGATTCTTACTATGAATTGCATGCTTGGGGAATCCAATGATAATAATGATCAAAAGGCATCCTAGTATTAACCGCTGTGAGGCATATAGTTAATATTATCCAACACAATGCTGTGGTTTCAAACTTTAAGTAGGCAATTGGTCTGTAATAAAAGGAAAATGTAAACTTGATTCACTATCATCCCTTCAATGTCGTCTTGCAAGTTTATATTGTAACAGTAAATGACTGGATTCAAAACTTATCATAACAGTGGAACTAACTTGGTTGAGAACTTTCCAAGGATCTGCTCCCATTCGGTCAAGTTTGTTAATGAAAGCAAGTCTTGGAACCTCATATCTTCTCATTTGCCTATCAACGGTAATCGACTGACTTTGCACACCGCCAACACTACAAAGGACGAGAATGGCGCCATCAAGGACACGTAAAGCCCTCTCAACTTCAATGGTGAAATCAACATGGCCTGGTGTGTCAATTATGTTCACCTGCAACAGCACATTTATGCATGAAAACCATTGAAACTAACTACCAGTAGTGGCAATATATATTTTTTCATGCATAGAGTGAACAGATATCGAAAGTAAAGACCTGGAAAAGTTTAAGGGCATCACCATATGCATGTCCAGGGATGCTGGGAGGGAAGTATATATAAAATTGAACTCAATAATCACTTGTTATGAGGCCAACTACTTGATTTTCCTTTATTACTCTCAACGAAGCCAAATACTTGATTTGTCTTTTATAATTCTCAACCAGGAACTGAACCCTCTTTGGAAGTGGCATGAGATAAATCCCAGCAAACAACTGATGATGATCCAGATACTTAAATTACTCCTAGTTGAGTCAGTTGACTTTCTCATGAAAATCTAAACACCGAGTTAAATTTCTTTCCATTTTCTATGCTTACAACACTAGGAGAACAGGGAGCAATCAGTTGAGACAATAAACTTTCTTTCTTGTGAAAATATAAATATTCAAATTTTAATTTCTTTCCATTTCCTATGCTTTTTCATCAACCAAACCAAGCTAAATAAAAAATTAGAACATTAAGATTTTCAGTTTCTTTTCATTTCCATCAATTGCAAACCAGCAAAACAAACCCAGATTGAAAACAACCAAAAACGAACTGTATGGTAAGTGAATTATCACCTGATAATCTTTCCAAGTACAATAAGTAGCTGCAGACTGTATAGTAATCCCCTTTTCTCTCTCTAAATCCATCGAATCCATCTTGGCCCCGACTCCATCTTTCCCTCTAACCTCATGAATCTCATGTATCTTCCCCGTGTAATACAGTACTCGCTCCGTAAGCGTCGTCTTCCCCGAATCTATATGCGCCGATATACCAATATTTCGCAGCTTATCCATCGATTCCTTCCACCATGCCTCCTTATCTTCCTTTACACGAGCGGCGCTGCCGGCGGAGAACCGCCGCAAGTGGAAGTTCCCGAAGAGAAGGGCGGTGCTGGGGGACGAGCACGGGGATGGGGATGGGGATGGGGATGGGGATGGGGATGGGGACGGCGACGTTTTGGGGGAAGAAGAGAGGGTGTAGAGTAGGCGCGTCGTAGAGGATCTCGCATATCGAGCCATAGTTGAGCTGAGTTTTGTGTTGTGTGTTAGGGTTTTGTAAAACCCTAGTTGTTGCTGCTGGACTGAGAAACCCCACACTGTGTCTGTTTGGGTTCGTTGAAGTATACGGAGTTCGGGTTTTTAATATTGTGAAGAAGAAGAAGAAGAAGAAGATGTGAAACGGATCAGAAATTCGGGCTCTAAATTTTGGTTTGTGTTCGTATTTGATAATTGTTACTACTGCTTCTCTTAATCTAGATTTTATTTATCTATTTTCATGCAAATATATATATATTTTTGGGTAAGTCGTCTTACTTAATATAGTAATACGATTAAATAATTTATAATTAAATAATTTTAATTTTCGTTACTAGTAATATGATTAAATAATTTTATAATTATCATAATATGATTAAATAATTTTATAATTTTACAATATAATTTTTGTTCCCTTTCGTAACTTAATATGACGACCATTTTAAGAAACCATGATGGTAATTTTGTAATTATTACAATTCAATGCAATATAAAATATGTTATGGGTTTATTAAAAAATCACTATAAAATTTGACACTGACTCAGGATACCACCATGGCTTATCAACACCACCAACAATCTCAGCAAGAACCCACTTCGATTCACCCTCCTAGGGTTCCAATCCCACAAGAACCGACTCAAATGGTTGGTCCAGAACAAGGTTTAGGGCAAACCCATGTCGTATTATCCAAAAACAATGGAGGGTTTGGACCGGTACCCATGCACAGTAGGACCCCACCCTAAATTTTTTTCTTTGAATTTTATACTTTACTTAAATTTTCAAATCAGTTTGATATGTTTCAAGCGTTAATTATTTAGATATTTACGTATTATTTGATTATTGATTAGATATTTGTGGTTTACGTGTGTTTAGTACTAAGTCACATAAAAGGAAGCGAGAGCGAGAGTAAATTCGAGACTGGGAGTGGAAGAGCGGCAGAATTAAGTCATAAATTGATAAATAGTGAGAATTTGAGACCGAGCGCGTGCATAATGTGAGAATAACACCTGTTGAGAAGGATTGTGTGACTTAGGTTTAGTTTTCTAGATAATAGCTTGTTTGGAATTTAATTTTTCATCTTGAATTAATAATTCAGATATATGTTATATTGTTACATCTTCCACTGAGAGATTTTAAGATGTGTTGGACCAAGGACAAATATTTGACATGTAAATTTTAGCAAAGTTACAATTTTTATCTTATTGATGCCAATAGGATACCAGAGAATCACTTGATTAAAAAAACAAAAAAAAACACACACACACACACATACCAAAAGGTGAACAGTTTTTGTTGTCGAGCATTCATTATAGTCCAGAGGGAGTAATTGAAGAATGTTGCATGCAATGTGAAAAGTTATTTGAAATATTATGCAATCAAATGACTTTAAATTCAACAATTTTAATTTTAATTTTAATTTTAATTTTAATTTTTTTTTGTTATTTGTCATCTTTCAGTGACTAAAGGCCCTCTCTCTGTTTTGTTTTTTTTACCCAATTGACTAAAGGACTCTTTGTCTAGTGGTAACATCTGCAAATTTATGGAGGTAGGTTGCTTTACTAGAAACGTTGCCTACAGAAACATGTGATTGATAATTTTGGCATGCTGGTTTATTTTTTGATAATTTGTTCTAGAAGATTCATTTTTTAAAAAGACACTTGAGGTGCTGTTGGATGCTTATTTGAACTGCTTGTTGTTATGTTGGGTACTGGGTAATGGGCATGCGGTATTATTACCGTGGCAGTATTATTACCGTGGCAATGGTGATCGAGAAATATTTGAGAAGACGGTTAGTCTCTTTTTTATTGTATTATCCAATTGTGATAGACATTTGGCGTGTGCGCTGGCTATTTTCGGGATGCAGGGGTGGCTCTGACCAGTACGTTGGAATCTCTTGAGTCTTGGAGTGGTCGGCCATTGGAATGGCAAGCTCGAAATGTTTGGCGTGTGCGCTGGCTATTTTCGGGATGCAGGGGTGGCTCTGGCCAGTACGTTGGAATCTTTTGAGTCTTGGAGTGGTCGGCCATTGGAATGGCAAGCTCGAAATGTTTGGACGACCAACGTGTTACATATTTGGTGAGATTTGTGGGAAGAAAGAAATTGGAGACCCTTTGAGGTAATGAAGCACTCTACTTTGAGTTCTTTTATTTGTTTTTGTACATCCGTAGAGGATTATGTTGATTATTTGGATATTGTGAAAATATAATGTTTTCTTTTGTATAATTGTTCCTCGGGTGCGCTCCCTTTTTTGACATTCTTTAATAAAATTTCAGTTATAAAAAAATGTAAATATGCATCCAGAAGTACCTAAAATTATATGAAAAGTATCACACGTGTTAGAAATAAAAATTTAAAAAAATATATTTTCACATTTCCAATACGTTTAGGAAGTATTGGAAATGTATATTTATCCAAGGAGTATTTGACAGAAAAATTGTGATGACCTTGTAGGCGGGTGCAAGACACTGACAGGCTACCACACTGGTGAGTTACGAGTGCACAATTCCATATTGCCTAGAAAAAGAAAAGGTGAAGTGCTTATAGGTCTTTTGGGGTAAAACTCAAGAGCAAAACAGTGTGAGCTCAGGCCTACAGCCTGGATTAAAAATCCAAGTACCTGGACTTGTAAAAAAAGGATGTGAACTTAAATAACAACGATTTCATATATTTCAGCATGTACCTAAATTATATATAAAAATCATTTTGAATTTGCCCGCGACCAATCTATGTAATATATTTATCGAGGTGTATCATGTGTACAATCTGATGAAGCAAATTTCAAATCATAAGCATCTAAAGGAAGCTATAGGTGCTGACTCTTAAAATGTAATTATGTGTTGCCTGAATTTTGTCTGCATCATCATATTGGTACAATATAGCTATATTCTTAAAAACTTTAAATTCCATTCTGCAGATTGTTCAATCTCCGGTGCAGGTAAAAAAGGCAGTAGACCGTTTAGAGGAGGTGGTCGTGGCCATTTTGCTCCAGGATCAGATCGTTCTGGCCTCTCTATTCGTGGCAGGGGACAAAGCAGAGGTCGTGGTAGGCACATCCGATCAAATTCTTCGTCGGACCCAAAGACATTTGTTTCAGGAGAAGCATCACTGATCCAAGGAGAACAACTCAAACTTTGATGCAACCTGCAAATAGTGTCCAATTCTTCGAAGGTGTTGAGGTTGAATGTAACCTCAACAAAGATGGAATTAATGATGTCCTTTTTTTTTTTTGTTTTTTGATATTAAAAAAAAAAAACCTTGTACTTTTGTCCCTTGCAAATTGGATATTAGAAACTTTTCAAGAAATCATTTTAACTTGTTTGGTGTTATCAGAAACAAGTGCCAAATTCATCAAATCCCAAAATCTTAACAGACTGCAAAGGGTAGTAGTGAAGTTGTAAACAAAATAAATATGGTAGTTAAAGTTGTCCTAATAAACAGATAATCATTTCTTTGCACTAATCAAGGTTTTATCATATTTGTTTTGAAAAGGTAAAAACATACATTCATACCTTACAAGTTAAGGAACAGAGAAATAAAGTAAGATGTGTAAAACATGCTAAGTCAAATTTAAATAAGATAATAGAAGAATTTAAATTCGTTTTAAGCCGATGGTCGGTGTCTCTCCACCTCAATGTTGCCAACAATATCTTCATAAGATAGTGTGTAGCGGCATTGAGAAAGAGAGACATCGACTAGGTGATATATTGAGTTTGAATGTTGTCAACAATAACAAGTTAAGGGATAATAAAAAGAATTCAAAATTAAGATAGAGAACAGCGACCATGAGAGAGCGCGTGCGTCTGAGTTGATAAATTATAAATTGAGTTTTGGTCGTTCAAAATTTAGAAACACAAATAGCAATCAAAGTGAGTAGGCTGAAAGTTTAGTCATGTCAAAGAAATTAAATATTTTTTATAAAGCACAAAAACCTACTTTACAACAACATTTTTAATAAACAGAACATGATATCAATTCAGAACCGAATTCAAACATTAAATACATACAAATAATTAAATATCACAAGAACATTCATACGTACGTATATTTTTTATATGAAATTTATAAAACTGAAGTCCCACCATAAACTCCAAAATTTAATAACACCATAAAAACTAACACTTTTCCCAATCTCCCCCTAAAAAAAAAACAAATCACGCAAAGAAAGACGTGATTAATTAAATTAACAAACAACATTCTGAAAAAACAAACAAGAAACGAAATATGTAACAAAACAAAAGATTGGAAAGGAAAAGGTTAATAAAACAAAGTTGCTTGAAGCCAAAGTTGTTATGTATATATATATATGCATGCTAGACATGATAAACATGAAGATAGATATATCTCAGATATATGTAGTTGTCTCTGTACGTCACTGTGTGTTGTTGAGAGAGGAGGAGGTGAGAGAAGAAATTAAGAAGAGAGGTGAGAGAAGATACTGCACGAGTGGTTTTTCGCTGCATTAATAGATTAGGAAATTATTATATATATATATAGAGAGAGAGATTGATTTATATATACTTTGCGATAGAGATGGACGTGCTCAACAAGGAAACTAGGACTTAATTTGGCCGGGTTAATTCAATTGGAAAGAATGGCTTTTAAATCACGCAAGTGCTTTTTGAAGTGAGGATATTAATATAAGGTACGTATTTGTATCTTCAAAATTTAGTCTAATTAGGGTTTCTATTTTTAAAGTCTTATTTGTTAGAAATTTAGACAAGTTTTGATTTCAAAGAAATATATATTGTTATTCATAAAAAATTTGTGTCGATGAATATAAAAGAGATCGAGAGGGAAAAAATAAACCATTAATATCAAGATTGGTGATTTGGTGGTTGTTCCGAATTCGATCAGTTACGAAAGAGCCTATATATGATCTAAGTATGCTGGTACACAATATATATACACACGTACACATACGTATAAATTATGTATATATATAAAATAAGAATCTTTACAATTACTAGTACCTTTTAATTGATGGATATGCACGCCAATTAAATCATCACGTCTTGATACATGAATTTATTATAATATATATATACGTTTATAAAACGTACGCTTGAAAGAGAAAGATCTTATCAAAATAATTACATCTATCTATATATAAACAAGAAACTAAAGAAAATTATTTACCCAAAAAGAAAAGAAAAAAGAAGTAAAGAAAACAATATATGCATTCATGGAGTTATATATAACCAAAGAAA